TTAATTATTTACCTTTTCTGGGCCTCTTTGGGGCCTAGTAATGGCATCTTCCCCTGAAGCTACTGTGAGAATTAAATGTAGGATGAGCAAATAGAGGCAGAGTCCTTAGAATCCCTCTGGTGTGTAGCGGGAGTTCAGTGAATGTTGCTGTTGTCACTCTGTGGCTGGGTACACTCTCTTCACGGGATGATTCTGGAGGAGGTTTGGTCCGCCTGTAAATTTTGGCTTCCTGTTCTTCATTGAGATGTTCTTATCATTTGGGTTCCTTTAGTCTCTTGGAAGAATACCATTCTGTACATCTGGAGGGATTTGTGTGCCAGTGAACCCAAATCTCACAGAAGCAAAGAGCCTTCTGGTCTGGCCCTCTCTTTGTGTATCAGGCAGCTTTAATCACACTGCCTACGTGCTCAGTGCTGGCTTTTATTTCATGGAGCAAGCATAGCCCTCCCCTCCTTGGGGATTACAGACAGAAATGAGTTTTAGGCTGCACAAGGAGACAGGGCAGAGGTTCAGATGGAAGACACGTTCAGGGGATTTAATTTCCCCTGCTGGTATTAATACTGTTAACACTAGTGCAGGGCGCTTGTCCCTAGTAATTTCGGTAGCCTGACCAGTGAGGTGGATCTGGAGGAAGAAATGCTGCTGGGTGGCCTGTGGTTAGTGGTGTAGACTCAGGACCTTGTTCTTCCCTTGATAGCCGCAGGGTCTTGATGGTCACTCACCCCGTAGGGCCTCAGTTTCCTCCTCTGCCAGAGTAGATGGTGCTGAAGTTCTGCGAGTATGACCCTGGATAGCTGTGTGGTGGCCGTGGGCATGAGCTCTGTCTCCCATGCTGGGCACTTCAGTGGAAGTGGGAATTTGGTTACATGGATTGCATGTATTTTCTATCACATTAAAAAATTAAAGTGCTTCGTTTTTATGGGTCCTTTTCTGTCTGTAGCTGGCAAACATTGGGCGTCTCAGTGCATGCATGGGAAACAGGAGGTCTGTAGGGCAAGGAGCCAATGGGGAGTCCTGGCCACGGTGTGTAGGGAGCACCACTGGTAAATGGGCCACTGCAGTGGTGTTGGGTATGGAGGTGCCTGCACCCTGCAGGTGGAAGGAGCCAGAAGAGTTTTCCTCACCTCCCTTCCCTTCTCCTGCCCTTTCCTCTCATTCTTGATCAAGTTCTGAGCTGAAGAGATTAAGGAACTGGAATGTCTTTGAGTTGATTCCAGAAGAGTGGAGATATTTAATGCCACAACTGAGGCAAAACTGGTTCCCTGGACAAGTGCTAGGGGGCATTCAGAGCACTAAACCTTATAGTTCCTCATCTGTATCCCCGATTTGGAGAAGAGGACAGGCAGAGCTTCTGGTCCTAGAAGCAGTGTCTTCCCACCAGGAGCCTACAACCATCAGCACCCACCTTGTTTCCTTTGGCCAAGTGACCCTGGGTTGCTTGATGGAAACAGCAGGTTGCACCTGGCCAGGAAGAACCTGCAGCTGCATGTCCTTGCATTAGGGAGGAAGGACACCTTGGCTTTCTGGACCTACCAGCCACGGAGGCAGCCTCGGGAAAAGCTGATATCCCAGTGTGAACTCTTGTCCTGCTCTGGCCATTTCGGGGGAGCAGAATAGGGGTGGCAGTCTACAAGCTAGCAAGGGTCAGGGTGGCTGTTGTTTTTCTGAAGTTAGTGCTACCACTGTGTGACATGAGTCAGCAGACGAGTTCCTCCTTAGATTTTTTTCTGTTCTAAAAGTGTGTCATGCTGTTGTGATCTTTGTGTGTTTTTCAGGGCCAGAAGGGGCTGAGTGTGCTGGGCTTGGGGAAGAGGCAGTGATGCAAAGCATGTAAAACATCCCAAGTTCTGGTTGAGAATTAGCCTTTTCCTGGAGCAGGGACCTGAGGCCCTGAGGAGAGAAAGGACTTAGCCAAAGCCACTCGTTCACTTAGTGATGGGGCCAGGACCCAAGTCCAGGCTTCTAGGTTCTTGTCCCTGTGCCCACTTCGCTTTGTGAGGTCAGCAGTCAGTGTGCAGGGTGTTGGGAGCCATGGGGAAGGATGGTCCTGGAGGCTCTGCTGCCAGCAGCAAGCACACGGCCATTTCCAGAGATGATCACCTTTGTTCACTGGGATCTTATGGTCCAGAGCCCAGGGATATGCGGACCCATTGGTCTGCCTCCTTCCTTCACTGCGCCATGGCCCAAGGCATCCTCCGTTCCTGCCTCAAAGTTCCCTTTCTCTCTATTAAGAGCTGTACATGATCTCAGCAGTTGAAGCTTCCCTAGATGCTGATCCAGTAACTTCCTTGCCCAAATTTTGACAGAGGTTTTCTTGGAGGTTTCAAACTTTGTGGGAGAGTAAGTCTTTGACCAGGAAAGGCATTCAAGGTCTCCTGTGGGACTGCTGGAAATGAACGGAGTGCCCTGTGCGGACACAGGCACCTGTCGCTGACGCTGACGGCAGCACCCTCAGGGTTCAGGCTGGTCGCCTCGTGGTCCTCTGGCCAGAAGAACTGTTAATTCATTAGGAGGTGTGACTGTCACCTGACTCTGGGGAGCCAAGTTTGACTGCTCAGGTGGTAAACTTGTGAGTGCTTTGGGTTAAAGTTTGCTGATTTTCTAAACTCTGATCGCTTTTCTTTCCATGCCCCCTGACCTCACTAACTCTACTGCTGCCCACCTCCCCGAGGTCAGTGTAGAAGTGCATGGACTGACACACTTAAGCACACCCGCTCACATAGACACTGAGCCTTAAAGGGAAAGAAGCCTGAGAATGGCTGTACGTGTGCTCAGGTGCCATAGGAGACCGGTGCAGCCCTTTCTGAGTCACTGGAGAGTGGCTGAGCCATTAGCTGTCATTTGGAAGAAACAGCACCGCTTTTACAGACCCTCGATGCGTCTCTGCTGTGTCACTTGAACCTTGCTGGGCTTCTGTTTCTTGGTCTAAGGAGGTGGTGATTGGTCCTTGTTTCAGAGGAACATTGCGAGGGTTAGATCAGGTCACGGATATAAATGCACGCCCAGTGTTTGCTAAATCATGTCTATGATTAGCCGTCTTAGTTACTTTTCTCATTGCTGACACAAAATACGTTAACCAGGTTAAAGGAGGAAAGGTTTATTGTAGCTCGGCAGTTTGTAGAGGTTTCAGATCATAGGTAGTTGGCTCCACGGCAGGGTGGCATAGCACAAGGACATTGCAGAGGAGAAACCGTTCACACAGGCAGAAGATGGTGAAGTGGCAGAGTACCAGCAGCAGCTGTCTGCCTCTCCCTTGTATCCCTTCCAGGCTTACCCCCACCCTTGGGTGGTACCCGCCACACCCAGGGTGGCCTTCCCATTATCCACACCCAGAACTATGCCAAACCAATCAGTAGACTAATTTAGTAATTACATACCCTTGATCGCAGCTTCCCACACTCTAGATCCAGCCACCTCTGAAAAGCTCTACCCATGACCCCATGGGGCTTTGGAGGACATCTAGGTACAAGTCATAACATTAGCTAAGATCTCGAGCCTCAGTTTCCACTTTTGACAAATATGGACAACAATATCCCCACCTCTTAATACTGTTTCGAGGACTGAGTGAGTTGATGCATGTGATTATTTCTTTTTTCTTTTCTTTTTTTTTTTTTTTTTGGTCTTTTTCGTTTTTATCGGTACCAGGGATCGAACTCACGACTGCCTGCTTGCAAGGCAGGCGCTTATGTTGCTGAGCTAAATCCCCAGCCCGTGATTGTTTCTTGTACACTGAAGAATGCCGCATACATTAAAGGTAGCAATGTAATGTGGAGAATGTGAGGGCCACTCTCTCTACATATATTTTCCTCAAGGAGAACAGAATGTGCATGAGTGTTCCGCTTATTTCCAACTCCTGGATCATTTTTTTTGAGGGGGGCAGGTGCTAGGGATGGGACTGCATGCCTGGTGCCTGCTGGGGAAGGATTCTACGACTGAGTTACATCCCCAGGCCAACTCCTGGCTTCTTAAGGTGTTTAGATCACATCACTGGCCTCCAGTGCTCACTAAGTTCTTTGAGCTGCCCACCCAAAGAGCCTCCTTGGGCCCTTCAGCATCCTCTGGGAGTACTCCCTGTCAAAGTGTGCTGCTGGAAGCCTGAGCTCCTGCAGCAAGTGAAGCTTCAGTATGGAACCAGGGACCTGGCCTTGCATGGTGGTGCACACCTCTAGTCATCCCCGTAGGACTGAGTAGGAGGATCAAAAGTTCGAGTCTGCCTGAGTGATGGGATCTTTGCAACTTAGCTAGATACTGCCTCAAAAAAGGGCTGGAAGACAGCTTACTACGAAGGCCCTGGGCTCAAGCTCCAATACCTGAAGAAAAGAGGGGGATACCTTTCCCTCAGGTGATGATCTAATTATCCTTTCCTCCTAGCAGCCCTTGAGCTGTGGGATCCTCGGGTTTCTGTGGACACCTGTGCTCTGTGTGGCTTGTAACCACCTCGCTCTGTTTCCTCCTGGCTCATGGAAGCTGAATCTCTGGCATGGGTCAGTGCTTGGCCAGTGCCACTCTGAGAACTTAATTCATGGTTGTCCAAATGGCAGTCACCCAGCTAGGCCTGAGGCTGCTCAAAGCTGACTCTGGACGGGGACACTGTTGCCTTCTGCCCCTACCTGCCTTACTGAGCTCTGGCCAGAACCTCTCTCAGTTGCAGGAGGTGCCCTTTTTCCGGTCGGAAAGCTGTCTCTATATAAAGCAGTGGGCCTCGTAATTTAACTTTATACCTCCTAATTTCCTCCCACAAGACCTCCCTGGGTGGGGCTGGACACATTTTTGGTGAGCCACAGAGCTTTATTCCTGAGGCCTCTTCCCTTTGCCTGTGGTGATCCCACAGAGATCTACACAACGTTTTGGCAAAGAGGGCCTGGCTGGAAGTTCTGGGCCTGCCTGGGGCTGGAGTGGGGGTGAGCCAGAATGTCTCACAGGATGCCCTTTGTTCCCTTCATGTCCCTCTGTCACTGTCTCTAACTTCACCCTGGCTCTGCCTCTTTCCTTCCTGGCAGGACTTGTGTGGGGCTACCACCTGCGACACGCTGGGCATGGCAGATGTGGGCACCATGTGTGACCCCAAGAGAAGCTGCTCCGTCATCGAGGACGATGGGCTGCCGTCAGCCTTCACCACCGCCCACGAGCTGGGTAAGGCTGGATTGGGGTGAGAGCTGTCCTCCTGGGTTGTTCTGGGTTTTTGTGTGGTGCTTTGGGGACAGGGAGAGACTTGGCTTTGCTGTTTCATATTCTGAAGCCTTAGGGATACTTTCCAAGATCCAGAATTCGCCTTGGTGGTTTGTTTTATATTTTCCTATTGCTGCAGTCTAGTTGGTCAGCAGTACGGTCTCAGTACCTCTGCTGGGAGTCTGTCACTTGGGTGTGACAAGGAGAATATGGTAAAGACTAGGAGATGTGCCTCTGTCCTCCCTGAGCTCACAGTCTGATGAAAGGGACAGGAAACATGAGCTCAGGAGCCTGAGGACATCTGCAGAGCAGTCTGTTGAGAGGTGTGAGTGAGCAGCTTGAGAACTGTCCCCGGGCTTTCCAGTGTGTCCTTGGCTTTTCCCTGTTCTCCTGCCCCCTGAGTCCTTCCATGTCACCCTGCAGGCCATGTGTTCAATATGCCCCACGACAACGTGAAAGTGTGTGAGGAGGTCTTTGGGAAGCTCCAAGCCAACCACATGATGTCCCCAACCCTCATCCAGATTGACCGTGCCAACCCCTGGTCAGCCTGCAGTGCGGCCATCATCACTGACTTCCTGGACAGTGGGCACGGTGAGCCGGGTGACAGGGTGGGGTGTCCCTGCAGGGGGTGCTCCCTTCTTCCCTGGACGATCTTCTGTACACATGGGGTGCTGGCCCCATTGAAGTGGCCTTGACTGGGGCTGTTCCAGATGCTCTAGTCGCTTCTGTCCCCATCCTCTGCATTCCAGGCCAGAGGAGCCCTTTCTTCTCCTAACAAACGTCCTCGGCTCTCTGCAGGCGACTGCCTCCTGGACCAGCCCAGCAAACCCCTCTCACTGCCCGAGGACCTACCGGGGACCAGCTACTCCCTGAGTCAGCAGTGTGAGCTGGCCTTCGGCATGGGCTCCAAGCCCTGCCCGTACATGCAATACTGCACCAAGCTGTGGTGCACCGGCAAGGCCAAGGGGCAGATGGTGTGCCAGACCCGCCACTTCCCCTGGGCGGACGGAACTGGCTGCGGCGAGGGCAAGTTCTGCCTCAAGGGGACCTGTGTGGAGAGACACAACCTGGACAAGTACCGGGTGAGCGCTGGCGCCCCCTGCAGGGGGCCATGGGGCCTCCCCTGCCCTGGTGTCCCCTGGGGCAAGCTGCCCATCGGACTGGTGGTGACGGTAGTGGTGCTGCACTGTGCTTCATTTCTGTCTCTAGTCTTGTCCCCATGTTGTGTCTCGAAGTGGAGAGAGCTGAGGTAGGTCAGAGGACTCGGTGAGGCCTTAGATGGGGAAGAGCTTTGGGAGGACTGGGGCCTCTGCCTGAGCTCTGACCTGCCGAGTGTGTCTGGGCCCGGAGATGCTCATTCTCTGCCTCCACTCTTCCTCCCTCCCCCACTGTTTCTCAGTCAGTCTGTTCCGTATCTGGGAAGTTGGAACCACACAGATGAACAGGGGTGAGCAGGGACAGGAAGTGAAGCCCTGGGCAAGTGTCAGTCATTTGACAAATCCCAAACTCAGCTTCAGTCACTGTTGTGATTTTTTTTTTGGTGTCAGGAATTGAACTCAGGATCTTATGCTTGCCAGGCAGGATCTGTGCCGCTAAGCTGTATCTGAGGGGTTGCTGTTGTTTTTAACTGAAATCTAATTGAATAAAAGTTTTTCCCTCCAGATAAATAGAACTAGCAATCAAATCAGAGCAACAGAAACCCAAATGTTCTCTGACTGTAATGTGAACTTTATGTACGTCAGGTCTTGTAGGATAGGAAAAGTTTGTATTTTCCCAAGTGGGATGAAGAAGCCTACCCTTTTCTCTGACCCTGTCCCTTCCTGACCCCTGTCCCTGCCTCTGTCTCCCTAGCTGAGGACTTCATACAGAGTTTTCTATGTACAGATGCAATAGTACAAAAAGCTTTCACCAACCACCTGTGATAGGTGTGGACCAATTATTTAAAATCATTTTCTGTGACCTGGGGGTATGTGTTTTAACTAAATCTGGAAGTTCTGAGCCAAACACATGATATCAGAAAAGAAATAAAAGCTAGGCCGTGCCTCAGAGCCACTGTTGTTGAGTAAGCTGGAAACACTAGGAGGGTCCAACACACAGAGGTGCATGCCATGTGCTGTGACGGGAGGATAAGCGTGTTCTGGGAGAGTCGGGGAGAGAGATTCATGAGGCGGTGAGGAGAGGGGTGAAGGTGGCTTCGAGGAGAAGGTGGGATTTGAAGAGTCTTGAGATGAGTAGGATCCTAACAGGTCGAGGTGGGGCAGAGTAGCGAGGTGGACCCGAGGGAATTGACGGCTGGGAGCTGAGACCTGAATTAGGAAGGGTACTAGTTTGATGGCCGGGCTGATGGGTTGACACTAGCAGCTTCTGAGTAAGGGTGAGTCATGGCAAGATCCTTTGCTTGGTAAAAGGAGTCCAGGATATCAGGATGCTTTCAGATATGGAAAATACAGTCTGGAAAGCACAATCTTTTCATGTAGTTTCTGTAATTGGCTATTATTAGCAAAATCCACTATATCCTGCACCTCTTCTGAACAGCGCCTGCATCCTACTCTGTGTAAATAAAACCTGACCCTTGTGGGGCTACTGCCCGTATCACCCACGGTCAGCACACAAGGCCTGTCTCGAACCTCACAGAAGCTCAGGTATTTTCTACTCAGTACTCACTCTGCACGAGTGACTGTGTTCCTAGGTCACTCCCTTTGGGTTTTGGATTCCACCAATTCTTCAGTGCCTTCTGGGCCTGCAGTCCAGTGACACAGTTGACTTTCCACCACCTTCTCATGCCTCACTTCCTCCTATGTGAGCTGAGGGTCACTTGTCACACGTACTCTGGATGCCTTGCCCTTCTCTCTGTGTCATACTCCCTTGAATCGATCATCTCTTGGTGGAGTCCAGGGAGTCATCCTTCAGGGGCACCTGCACCAGTGAACGTAGCTGGGGAAAAATGCCAGTTGTGCTCTCTGGCCTCAGCTTCACAACCTGGACACTCAGGTGGGCCCCTGATGCTGGTCAGGAGTCTCCTGGCCTCCAAATCTGTGAGCTCACACCTTCACTCTTTTCTCTCGTTACCAACCCCTCATTCTCATTTTCACCATGACTAGTGTCTTAGTCCGTTTTCCATTCCTATAATGAACTGCCACAGGTTGAGTACTTATTACAAAAAGAGGTTTATTTAGTTCACAGTTTTGGTGGCTGAGAATCCAAATAGGATGCAGGCTCTGATGAGGGTCTGCCTGGCTGTGTCACCTCATGGCAGGGAGCATCATGGTGACTGTGTTCAGAAGGGAGAGATCACACAGACATAAACTAGAGTGGGGAGGGATCAGGCTCGCTCTTGTAGAACACTTCACCCCAGTTCTCAGTGCTTCTTCTGCTCCTCCCCCAGCCACCACCCCCTCCTCCCAGATTATGGCAGTCACTCCCAACTGGCCTGCCTACCTCTGATCTGTACTCCTTGCAGCCAGTTCTGGTAACCAGAAGGTCCTTCTAAATTTTGAATTAGACTGTGCTATTTCTCTGCTGGGAACCCAGCAGGTGTAACCCATCTGACTCGGAATGAGCCAACCAGCCGCTGTCTTTACCCTTTTCTTTCCTCTTAGCTGGTGCATCCCAGGTGCATCAACTCCTTGGGGCCTTGTGTGGCTGCCTCTGGAATGTTCTTTCTCCAGGGTCTGCCTGGCTCACGCCTGTACTTTCTTTGTGCGTATGAGGCCTCCCTGATGCCTGTGATGTAGAACCCACCTCACTCATGTCCTCCCAGTTGCCCTCCTCACCCCCGCCTGCTTTTAACCCTGTCCAGTGTGTTACATGCACTGGATTATTTTACTGTGTCTCTCCCCCACTGGCCTGTTGAGGGCGGGAACTTGTTGTACATGGTGTCAAGCATGTAGTAGGAGCTTAGTAAATATTTTGTGGGTGAATGAAGGAGCACAGTGAAGATTTTTGTACACATGGGTGGGAAGAAAAACAACACTGTGCAGTGCTGTGCACAGTGACTGTGTTAGGTACAGAAGGAAAAACAGAGATTGTGAGAGCTCAGCACAGACTCATTCATTCTTCAGCTGGTCCTGCTAACTCTGAGAGAGTAGCTTCAGCTTGTGATGGGTGCACAGGAGACAAGAGTGTCTGGCGGACAGACAGAGGGAGTGGCTGTGCTGAGGATGTGCAGCTGTGGAAGTATCCATGTTCCACACAGTCACTTCTTAGCTGGGTGCCGGTGGGTGAGTGCCTGGGTGGATGACCTGTGATGGTTTGAGTCCTAGACTTGTACAACCTGGTTGCTTCCTTTCTTGCCCACCTGATGTGTGTCCAGGAGGTGAAACCCATTTTGTTGTCATCATAAGAGAAACAGTGCAAACTGGGTATGGGGGGGCATATCTGTGGTCCCAGCACTTGGGAGACTGTATCAGGAGGATTGATAGGAATTTGAGGCCAGCTGGGGCTACATAGTGGGACATTGTCTCAGAGAGAGAGAGAGAGAGAGAGAGAGAGAGAGAGAGAGAGAGAGACAGACAGACAGACAGATAGACAATGGCAGGCTATACATTTTCTATCCCTTCTCTACCCTCTCAAAACAACCAATCTATCAACCAACCAATCAACCAGCCAACCAACCAACAAACATCCCCCCTGCATAATTTACTTCAAAGCCAAATAGAGTTTTGGGATTGTTCAAGAGTTTTCCACCTATACGACCTTTTCATGCAAAATTTGTCCTGCTTATGGTGAACCTTTCTCAAATGTGACACCTGAATAAGGTGATGGTCAATTTAATGTGGAAAAGAGTCTGAATTAGAGAGCACTTACAAGTTAAAATATTTAAGCATCTATGGCCACATGGTTTCCCAGCAAGGGCGCTGGTTGAGCCCATGGAAGGTTAGACTTCTGTAGACACACTAAAAACAGGTAGAAGTGGGAAAGCTTTGAGTTCTTGCGTAGAGGCATGGCTGGTGCTGGGAGTTTTTAGTCAGCCCAGTTAAAACTTCTGCCAGCCCCAGCCCTGAGTATTACTGGTCCCATTTTTGCAGGAGAAGCATGTGAAACCCATAGAGGTTTGGCCACCAGCTCAGACCCATTCTTGTGACTAGAACACTGATCTGCCTCACTCTGTATGCTGGGGGTGGTGGATAGGTTTCTCTCTTCGGAGTGATTTCATTTGTAACTGGGAGCAGTTGGTGTTTGCTAATTAATTGCTTAAGGTGTTGTGTGGGCCCTGTGCATATGATTCATCAGCTTATCATTTTTTTCTCATGACATATAGTAGATTGCACCCTACTGGGGGTGGGATGGAAACCTGGAGGCTGTACCAGCAAGCTTTTATATAGACCAAGGGCCTGGAAGTGGACTGGAGTCCTGAGGGGCTGTAACAGGTTCTTCTTTGCAGGTGGATGGCTCCTGGGCCAAGTGGGAGCCCTACGGTCCCTGCTCTCGTACCTGCGGCGGGGGCGTCCAGCTGGCCCGGAGGCAGTGCAGCAGCCCGGCCCCTGCCAACGGTGGCAAGTACTGCGAGGGGCAGAGGGTGAAGTACCGCTCTTGCAACCTGGAGCCCTGCCCCACCTCAGGTGAGGTGGGAGGCCACAGGTCCTGGATTTGGGGAGGTGACCCTGAAGGCCACTTTCTCCCATACCCTCCATCTAGGCTGGGGCTGCAGGGGGATTCCTGCAGTCAAGATTCCTGCCTAGGACAGCCAGGAAGTGGGGTACAGGTTCTGGAGGTCACCCTTCACTGCACTGTCTGGCAGCAGGGATGCTGTCTTCTGGGTACCTAGGCTGGGAGGTCACTTGGCTCAAGGGCTTGAGACACTATGATCTCTGATAAAACTATCTTTGAAGTAGGGATCCAGGGCCCATGAACTTGGCAAGGGAAAAACCTGCATCTCTATTTTGTTAGTGTTTCTATATAGAAGTGTTTCCTTCAATTAGAAATTTGACTTTAAAGAACTAGATGGCTTTTTCCATCTAAAATTTAATGGTTCCATCACTTAAGCAGCAAATTACAACCTCAGCAGAAGTACTTGTTACTTTGTTACCCACAGAGATCCTGGGTCTTTTCATATGACATTTCGGCTGACAAATTCTCAGGATGCCACCTATGATCTCCTTTTCAGAATTACAGTCTAGAGTTAGCAGAGTTATTATCAGATCTTATTATTCAGTGCATCAACAGAAGCACACGTATGTTTGTGTGTTTCAAAATGTTTCAAAATGCAGTGATCATTGCAGATCAAAAAAATTGGAATTTTCTGGTAAACCTGTATAATTTATTTTACACATTAATAGCACTATAGTGAAAACAGTTTCAGTTGATGGCTGGGGGGCTTCATTGTCCAGCATGCTTGGCGTATCTGTGAGGGGGAACAGGTGGCACACTGCTCCGGCATTATTACCTGTGCGCTGCAGTTTGGTTCCAGCCTCTCTAGTTCTGTTGTGTTGGGGAAGCCATGGCTCACCCTGCTGAGGGTGTGCAGAGCTGTTTAGATCCCAGGTGCTGGGCACCCCTGGGAGGGACACTGTCTTTTGTTTCCTCCCTTTAGTTTCCTGCCTGTGCTTCCTCCCTTCCCAGCCTCCGGCAAGAGCTTCCGGGAGGAGCAGTGTGAAGCTTTCAATGGTTACAACCACAGCACCAACAGGCTCACGCTTGCCGTGGCGTGGGTGCCCAAGTACTCGGGGGTGTCTCCCCGGGACAAGTGCAAGCTCATCTGCCGAGCCAATGGCACTGGCTACTTCTATGTGCTGGCACCCAAGGTGAGCCAGCTGGTGGGCAGAGACAGCACGGGGGCCAGGTCTTCGGGGAGCATTGCTGAGCTGCTTCCCTCTTTCTCCTTGCCTCCTCGGGGGTGTTGCAGGTAGTGGACGGCACACTGTGTTCTCCTGACTCCACCTCGGTTTGCGTCCAAGGAAAGTGCATCAAGGCTGGCTGTGACGGCAACTTGGGCTCCAAGAAGAAGTTTGACAAGTGCGGGGTGTGTGGGGGAGACAATAAGAGCTGCAAGAGGGTGACGGGACTCTTCACCAAGCCCATGTGAGTACTGGGCCCTGGAGAGTGTAGGCAGGGGGCAAGGTAGGAGGCGAGCAGCTGGAATTCCCCCCAGGTGTTGGAAACTTGTGTTAGATTGGGGTGAATGTCAGGTCCTGGCATATACTTTTCCATGGAGGCTGTTCATACTCTTCTCAGGCTGGTGTCACTCATTCACCCACCCATCCACACATCCATCCATCCATCACCCATCTACCCATCCATCCATCCACCCATGCACCCATCCACCCATCCATCCATCAAACCATCCATCCATCCACCCACCCATCCATCTACCCATTCCATCCATCCATCTATCCAGCCATGCATCCATGCATCCATTATCCAGCCAGCCATGCATCCGTCCAGCAAAATTAAAAGGGCAAGAATACACTGGATCAGGGAGATGGCAGGTTGTTAGGGTCTGTCTAGTGCTTTAGAGTAGGATGGACCTGCATTTAAATCTCAGTTCCCCATTTTCTGAATGACTGTGGGCACGTGGCTCAATCTCTAGATTTTTAGACATCCTCCGTTGTGGAGTGAGTATGATGTTAATATACTTCACATGAATGGCAATAAACAGGTAGGAGGCAGTGAGCAGATGGCTGCCAAAAGAGCTGACAGAGCCTCCGCTTCCTGGAAAATGTGGTTCAGAATGTGTGTATCCTCTCCAGTGGGAGCTCTGTGAGATCAGCCACATTGTACTCTGAAAGTCCAGAGGAAGAGGCAGGCAGGCACCAGAGGTCTTAGTGAGGAGCAGGAAGCATGGCAATGTGCGGGTCCAGGAGCTGAAGGTGGAAGACAGATGACTGTCTCGTCTGGAGTCAAACTGTCCCCTCTGGATGTGACACCCTCAGTTGACCCTCTTGAATGGCAATGCACATGGCAGACACCCAGCTCCCTTTCTGGAGGCTTGGGTGCTGCAGACAGAGGTGTTCAAGGCTGGGCTTGTCGGGGACTTGTAGCAGGGTAGCTGTGTGGGCATTAGACTTGCTTGGCTGGGTACATGCACAGGCTGACAGCGGCTGTAGAAATACCTGGCTTATCTCACTCACTGTACAGAGAAGGAAGCCAGAATCCAGAGAAACTGATTTACTGAAAGTCAGTGGGGCATTGGTGTCTGAGCATCTGTCTAACGTACAGTCCCTGTTTCCTCCCCCAGGCACGGCTACAATTTCGTGGTTGCCCTCCCTGTAGGCGCCTCTAGCATTGACATCCGCCAGCGTGGCTACAAGGGGCTGATTGGGGATGACAACTATCTGGCCGTGAAGAACAGCCAAGGCAAGTATCTGCTCAACGGGCACTTTGTGGTGTCGGCCGTGGAGCGGGACTTGGTGGTGAAGGGCAGCCTGCTGCGGTACAGTGGCACAGGCACGGCGGTGGAGAGCCTGCAGGCGTCCCGGCCCATCCAGGAGCCCCTGACCGTGGAGGTCCTCTCTGTGGGGAAGATGACACCGCCTCGAGTCCGTTACTCTTTCTACCTGCCCAAAGAGCCGTGGGAGGACAGATCTTCTGTTCCCAAGGAGCCCCGTGCACCTTCTGTGCTGCACAACAGCGTACTCCGCCTCTCCAACCAAGTGGAGCGGCCAGACCACCGGCCTCCTGCACGCTGGGTGGCAGGCAGCTGGGGACCCTGCTCTGCCAGCTGTGGCAATGGCTTGCAGAAGCGAGCAGTGGACTGTCAGGGCTCTTCGGGGCAGCACAGGGCCTCTGCCTGTGATGTAGCCCATCGACCAGTGGAGATGAGAGCCTGTGGGGAGCCCTGCCCAGCTTGGGAGCTCGGGACCTGGTCACCCTGCTCCAAGACCTGTGGTCGGGGATTTAAGAGGCGCCCACTCAAGTGTGTGAGTCACGGAAACCGGCTGCTGCCCCGGGAGCAGTGCAACCTGCGCCGCAAACCCCAGGAGCTGGACTTCTGCATCTTGAGGCCCTGCTGAGTGGGACTGTCCCTTTCCTTCTCTCATTCTTAGCCCCTTGTTGTGCCAGTGCTCTGGCCAGCTGGAGCAGAGGATGGTGACAAGTGGCTTGTGCCACCATGCCACTCACATCCAGGACAAGGACCGTGGATTGGGATGAGTGGTTCCTTCCTCCCTGGACCGGGCAGGAGGTGCTAACTAACGCACGGTCTACCTCATGCCCCGCTCCTCGGGGGCCCAGTTTCGGGGAGAGGCTGCAAGGTGTGGGTGCTGGACAGAAGGTGCTGAGGCCCAGTTTCCAGGGGATGTGGAGGATGGGCTTCTCCTAGGGAGAATTCAGGGACCTCAGCCCCCATCAGAGAGCCACACGCTGCTGGAAGAGCCATGGCCCAGCAGCTTGGCTCCCTCAGGTGACCCCAGGGGCACTGAGCCGTCCCTGAACAAGGCAGGGTTGTCATGGTGCTTTCAGACCCCTTTCTTTTCTGGCTGAGAGGCCAATCAGTGAAGACCAGGTGGTGGGGTGGAAGCTGAGGACAGTGAGCTTGCTGACGACTGGATCTCAGGTCCCTTTGATGGGAAAGATGTGGATGGAAACAGGGAGTCCTGGGGCTTCTGGTCTCCCACCTGGGCTCTCCTGGAAAAGTGGGCCCCTCCCCGTCTCCCCCAGCCAGGGCACTGGACTAGGGGTGGGGCTGCCACTAGGGTCCTTGGAGGCTTTGTGGAAAGAGGAGAAAGTCCCTTGGAGTCTGCCCCCTTTGTCTAGAGGGAGCTGGCCACTGCTAAGAGATGCCAGTGCATGGGGTTGGGGGTTAGGGAAGAGCTAGAGGCTGCTCTGGTTGTGGGACTGGCTCAGCGGCCCTGAGCTCTGGGCTGGGCACTGGGAAGTGACCCTGGGTTGGGGAAGAGGGAGGCAGCTCCAGTCCTGATGACTTTTTCTCCTAAGAGGGAAGCGTGAGTAAGGCTAATGCCTCAGGCTCTGCATTGCCTCAGAGGATCTCCGGGTGACCACAGCCTGGTACCACTGGGAGGCGAGCAGGGTGTGCCCAGAGGAGCATCTCTCTTGCTGCAAGCTGGGCTTCTGCTGGCTGCGGTGGGCACGTCATATCACTTTTCCAGTTGGGAATTGGGTTGTCTGTGTGCTACCTCAGATTAGGCTCTCTGGGAACCCACCCTGTCCCTAGGGACAGAGGTGACCTGGTGCTTCCACTACACCCAGCTGTCACCTTCACAGAGCAACCTGGCAGCCAGAGAGATAGATGTGTGTGTGGTGCAGGGCCATCCCCAGGCCTCCAGGCATGAGTATGGAGAGAGGGTCTTTCTCCCGGTTCCTTCAGGAGGCAACAAGAGTCATTTACCTGACATAGAGGCCTTGGAAGCTGCCAGAAGGAACTGCTGGAGACCTCTCAGTTTTGTTGACGTGGAAGGGGAAAAGCCAGGCCTCTTCTTTAGCTCCTAGTGGGGAGACATTGTGGGGGGAGAGAGCCTTTGTGGAGCAGGTTATTTCTTGAAGGCTTGGATGCTGTGGTGTGGAAAGGGAGTGTTCTGCTTTTCAGTACAGGTGGAGTCCAGGGGCTCAATGAAGAATTTAAAGGAGTTTAGATTGAAGCATGAATCTTTCCTGGGGAGAAGGATGCAGTTATTTCCTGTGGTTTCCCTCATAGTCAAAATCCACAAAGCAAGCAGCCAGCCAGCCAGGCCGCTGGTTTATGGTATTCTGACACTGGTCTAACCCAAGGCTGGAGGGCAAGAATCGAGCTCCAGCATGGGGTCGAGGGCCTTTGGCTCCTCAGAGCGATGCTGCAGATCTGCAGATACTCTCGACAGAGTGAGGAGGAGTCCTCTTCCTCATACATGAGGCTCAGAGACAAAAGGACCCCAGGGTGTGGGCACAAAGGAGCCTGTGCTCTGATTGGTGCATTTCCTTCCAGGTGAGGAGAGGGCAGGGTGGGGCCGTGCAGAGTGGGCGGAGGGTGGCAATATCCACAGTAACTGGCTCCCTAGCAGGGGTGTTTGCTGACCGTTCTTTAGAGATCATTTCAAGAGAGGTAACCACTCTTGTTCCTGACACGAGCCAGATCTCCACGCTCCTTACTGTTATGGCTCTTCCCCTTTTGCCTTTTCTTAAAACAAAAGAACCCCCCCCCCCAAACAAACCAAAAAAACCTGAACTATGACCAAGACAATTTGGGAAGTTTGTCTTGTCTTTGAACATTTCCTTAGACCAGCCAGGCTTCCCAGAGCTGAGAGGAGATGAGACGCAGGCACAGGGCTCCGGGGGTGGTGTCTGGTGCCTATGGGAGAAGAGGAGCCTTCTGGGGGCTCCAGCAGTTTCTACAGTAAGTGTGGACCAGTGAGGCCTTGGGTTTGTGATCCCCCAGCCTCCTTTATCCATCGGGTGCACTGATTGGAGAAACCTCACCCAAATCCCCTCAATACTGGAGAGGAGCTGCAGGAACCGAGGACTGTCTGAGGGACTGGATTTGCCTCTGCCTGGGAGTTGGCTCCTGAGGACACCAGACACTGTCATTGGTAGAACCCTGTGCTGTACTTGGTTCTTTTGCATTCCATGCACTGCAGAGGGATGGAACGGCCTGGGTCCTGGCTGGACATGTATACTGTGTATACAGGGAGTGGCTGCAGGGGGATGGCAGCCTGCTACCAATAAAGTCAGAAGTATTTAAAACTTGTGTCCTGTCTCTGTTGCTGGGTCTCATCTGTGCACACATGCTTCATGTTTGTGGAATATCTGTCATGTGCCTGTCATAGTGCTAGGTGCTGTGCGACAACAGTGAAGAGGACAGGCACAGTCCTGGTCCTGTGTGGCTCCAGGTGAATGGGGTTGTGGCTGGGGTGGGGCAGAGCGCAGCTTGGAAGCCACAATAGAGTCCGCACAGCGTTCCCTACAAAGAAGCCAGTGATAGTAAGAAAGAGTTCACATCTCAGTTTGTGGATAGAATAAGATAATCTGAGACTAAAGAATGAAAAGGCCCTGTTAAAAAGGGGTGGGCACAGCAGCAGCAAGCCCAACCATGGGGCTTCCAGAGGGTCTTGGGGGCTCTGCTTGTGAGGGAATGAAGTTCAAGAGAAGGCCAGAGGGGTGCATCATGCAGAGTGCCCAGCCACCTATTTTGTAAGGAGAAACCCAGTTTTCTAAAGTTTCATTCTAGCCGGGTAATGCTTGCCTCTTCCTAGTTCTGTGTTGGACTGGGAAGTTTAGCAAATGCACATGCATGCAGAGGGCTGGGATACATTTGGAAGAACATCCGGAAGCCTATGTTGGCTCAGATTTGCAGTCCTGTCTTGGAACCCCACTTCCTACTTGCAGAGGAAGAAAGGTAGATGTAATGCTCCTGTAGCGCAGGTTCAGACCTAGTGGCGCGGTTTCTAAGCACAGTTTGGAGTAGACTTTTCTGTGATCCTCTGACTTTGGCTCGAGGTTCAGAGATGGGTGTGCTTCTCTTTCTGACTTTGTAGCAGAGCAATGCCATGGAAGACGGGGGATGATTTCTCTTGAGCCGGAAGAGTTCCCCTTGAGGCCAGAGCAGGAAACTTGGACAGAGCTTCAGCAAGTGGTGAAAGGTTCAGGAAGAAACAGAGGAGCCTGTGTGGCTCTTCAGGGTACCTGGAAGGGATGTGAAGGGGCTTGGGTTGATGCCTGAGCTTACTTACGGTTTGCAAGTGAGACCTCTGGGAAATTGCCAATTGTGTGCTTTTATTCTTGGGGCTGTTATTTTTATTGTCCCTCTGGTTTCTTTTGAGTAAAAGGTTTGTGGGCTGGTTTGGGAAGACTGGGTTTGGCCGGTAGCTGGGCTCAGAGGTCCAGCTGAGGCCCCATCCAATGAAGCTTCAGTCAACAGTGGATACACCTGACTGTACTATGTGTGTTTTTAAGCTTTCTGGAGGAGGCAGGAACAGTTTGCTAACCTTCATGACCACTGTGGAAAGACAGGGACAATCTGCTTTGTAATCCATCCTTGGGAGCGGAATGTATTCTTGCCCCAGTAGAGAGAAAGCCTTGATAATTGCAAAAAGCTGTTGACTCCCTGGGCTGGGGCCCCGCCTGCCTAGGCTGAGCTGGCATGACCAAGGGCAGTGTGTGTGACCCGAGAGTCTTTCTGTTGTTCCTTGGCTTGCACCCAGGCCTTGTTGGGTGAGTCAGCTCTGAGGCCTGCAATTTCAGCTGCAAGTCCCGGAAGAACAAAACATCTCCCTCTACACTCCCGATGCCGTCCTGTCATCCCCAGCCAACAGCAGCTGCAAGAGCATTGCAGTGAAATGCCCACTGCTTCCCAGCAATGGAAGACTGCAGGAGAGGACTCACCAGCCACTCAGCTTGCCTTTCCCTCCCTCGCGTGTGCTGGGAGATTCTGCCCCGCCCCGCCCTGCTGCTCTGCTTCGAAGCCCTGCCATTGTTTTGTTCCTGTGCGCTGGTCAGTCGTGTAAATCACATTCCGAGAACTGATCAGAATGTTGTTAAGGAGGAGATAGGAGGCATTCCAGAGCAGAAACAGAACTGTTTGTTTCCAAAGGAGAGCAATTCTGGCAGGAAGGGCAAGATCAAGGGCGATAAGGAGGGAAGGGATCCCTCCTGGAACGGGGTTTGGGAACGTGGTGAGGACACTGTTGTGGTGAAGGTTGGAGGCTGGTGAGAGTTCATCTGCACCCCTAAGTTGTTATTAGTGACCCCGTCTCCCTGCCTCCACAACTTGGCTGTGGTTTCCAATGCTATCCAGGTGCCTGGGCTGCTGCTGTTCTGAGCTTTGAAGAATTGGTCGAATGACCTCGTGGTTCTGGGATTTTGGGCTTAGCACCTCTGCGTGGCTAAGCAAGCTGGAGCTCCTGATATGGTTTTGCTGTTGCTGAGGATTTTGAGAAAGGGCCTTTGGGTGTGCCAGGGAGAGGTGTTCAGGGGCACGGCATGACCTCTGCCGGTGCCGTTGGGGCTGGGTCTGCAGCCTCCTTTCAGCGATCTGCTTTGGTGCTAGGAGAGAATTACCTGTTCTTTTTCTTTCTGCCCTGAAACATTTCTCGCAATGATTTGACAGTATGCTCTCGAGGCAGTGTTCCATGTCCCCCAGAGGATCCATCAGCACTACCTGAACATGCTTGCGATTCCTCTAATCTCTCCTGACGGGAAACCTGTCTCTTAATTTCTTTCTTGGCAAGTCTCCCGGTGGAGCCTCTGACATTTTCAAAATTGGAATTTGGCACCTGGATCCACCCTGCCACCAAATAAGCTTCAAATTCAGAGCATCCCAGAAACCTTGACTTGTCTGAGCGCCTTCGAGTGTCAAAAGGGCAGACAAAAATGAGTAGTCCGTCCTGTCTGGCAAAGGAGTTGCAGCCCTGCAGCCCTTCATATTCTCTGGAAACTTCCACAAGTGTTTTGTTTTTCTTTCCTTAAAATAATTCCAAAATAAAATAATTATACAAAGATGCACAGAATAGACAAAGAATAATAATCTAGGGGTTAATCATCCAGTATAAGAAAGAAGGCATCACCGGTTAACACCCCCACTGCATTCTGCCTCCCCCTCTTTTGCTGGGTGCAATCTTTATCTCCAATTTGGTGTTTCCCACGCCCAGCCATTCCTCCTGTCTTCCCCTGAACATAGCTGCAGCCCTCAGCAATGTGCTTTTCAACTGTCCACACAAGGTGGGTCTTCTATGCACTCTTCTGAAAATTGCTTTCTCAGTTTGAATTGTTATTTACAGGAGTCATTTGTGTGAATACAGGTGGTTCTAGCTCATTTGTTTTGTGGTCTAGTATATTATTTCACTATTTGGATAGGAAAGACAGACATTTAGGTTGTTTCCAATATTTTACAAAACAGTTCTGCTGTGAAATTCTTGTCTGTCTGTTCCAGGGCACGGATTTGATGTGAGTTGGTAGGAGTGGTATTTCTGAGCTGTAGGGTGTGTACTTTATTACCAGCTCTTTCTGAGTTGTTCTCCAAAATGGCTTTTACCATGCCCAGGGCTTTGCCAATTGCCTTTCTTTTTTCAGGTACTATTTTCTCCATCTTCTGACCCACCTTTCTGTTGGGGAGCATTCACTTTTTCTGGTTTTCCCCTTCTTTCCTACGATTCCAGCAGAAAATACATAGGCATGCTCAACTTGGGATAACTCGAGGAGAGAGTTGAATAAAGAATGACTTACAAGGGTGGAGATAGGGACATAAGCCAGAGAAGCACCCTGGGCTGCTGGGGGGCATGAAAGGTGAGAGAAGAAATGGTGATGAGGTCGAAGAATGAGAGGTGTAAGATAAAGAGGGTAGGGGGTTCTAGAAGAAGCTGCTTTGGTACCTTTTCCATTGCTGTATGAAAACACCAGAGGCTGACTAAATTATAAAGAAAAGAGGTTTATTGAGCTCATGTCTTTGGAGGCTGGAAATCCACATGACATGTACTGGCCCTGGTGAGGTTTCTTGTGCATATTGTACTAGCTTTTATCTTAGTGGGGGATGCACAGGAGAGTTACCAGGTAGGGCAGGATGGGAAGCATAGAAGGAAGAGGCGCCACTTGTGCCCTTTTGCACTCCTCTCCTCCTGACCAGGTTTTCTGAGAACCACATTCTTTCCTTTGGAGGTAGTGTCCCCAAAGATCTCCCAATAACCCTCACTTAAACATTTCACCACCACCTCTAAGGACCATGCTACCAACACATAAGCCTTTGGAGGTACCCTAAACCATATCCAGCCCATGAAAGGAGCTCACATGTTCAGCTGGGTGATATAACTGCAGTTGTTTAATCTATAGAAAGTGGGAAGATTCTTGCCAATGGTAGAACTGTGGTGTCATCTCAGTGACCTAACCCGTGTAGCACACTGCCTGTCATGTAGTAAGTGCTCAGTAAATGTCATGACAGGTTACATAAACCTAGAGTAAGTTACTCAGAGAATTTTCATAACCATTATTTTCCAGTCTACACTGAAATAAAGAGAGGTAAAGTTATTCTTCTTATGCTCATTTATCTGACTTTGTTCCAGTTAAAGCCACTATACTTGGCCTTTCCACCGGTATCACATCATGTCTGAAGTATGTAAATAGTACTTACCTGTCCTCCCCTTCCAGATTCATCCCCTTGCTACCGTTCCCCAGGAAGGACTTTCCATCTCAACTCTGCTGTTCTGGGCTCTCCTGGCACCTCTGTGTCTTCTTGGATTGCACTAATTACCTAGCTCTTCAGTTACCCTCTACAGACCCTGAGGGTGGGCCTGATTTGGGCTTGCACTTAATATGTGAAAGTTTCTTGCCCTAACATAAATTACTGTATGGTTATAGTGATGGTCTAACATGGTAGAAGGCCAAAGCGGAAGCACTTGCCCTGACGGCCACTCCCTCCTCTTCCCCTTCGCCCAAATTGTTACTTTCCCATTTGAGGGCAAAGACAATTCCAGTCAGTCCCCCACACGTCATCAATGCCCTCCCCACGTGCCACTTCTGGTCCTCTGCCCCTCTGTATCTGGTAGGAAGGAGAAAGCCAAACCCCTGCAGGTTGTGAGCTCTCTTCTCCATGTCTACAAATAAATGGACACTGTCACTGTTCTTTCTTCTGCTTCTCTATTGTGCCAGAAAACCCTAACAATAAGTGCTTGGCACACAATCATAATGTAATAATGTAAATATCCTCCTTGGGCTGACTCAGGATGCCTGCTGCATGCCTATTACCTAACATTAAC